AGATGAGATACATTAATTAAGACGGGAAACTTTTAAACTTTTCTGCGAGGAATAATCTGGATATGGCAAGAAATCATGGTTGCCCCCATTATATACACACATTATAGAAATAGTAGGTATAGCGAGCCATTGGATAAGTAACCAAGGCATAAAATAAAATGTTAACTGGGCGACACAAGCACAAGTGTCGCCCAGTGACAATGGGTATGGCGTATTTTTTCTTATGTTTCACATTTCTAACATATCGGAATTAAAAAAATTACATTATGTAAATATTTTAGAGTATTGAGCTATGATTTTGGCCCAAGAGGTTGTGAAGGGAGCCTTGGCCTGTTACAACGTTCTAGAATACCGTATGTAATTAAGTGAGATTATATGGACTATTTAAAAGCAAATATAATTGAAAAAAATCATTAAAAGATACTTAGAAATGTTTTAATTTCACTTTAACGTATGCAAAATTTCCGGGGGGAAACTCCGGACCCCCCTTTTTGATGGGGGGTATTCCATACACCACAGACCCCCGGTAAGTCCGGTGCCACTGTCGCCCAGTAGAAATCCCTTAGCATATGCTCAGTAAGTAACTATTGTACATTACCTTTTAGTACCTACACTATTTGGAAAATTAGTAGTGTAGGTAGTTTTGATATTTTCTTTTAAACAGTTTATTATTCATTGCTCAAACTGAAATATCATGTAATAGCAGCATTAAAATGTAATATAAATGACTAATACTCATTTGTATAATAATTTGGATATCAACTTATGAGTATTTGGTTTCTATTTTAGTTTGACAATGGATTTTGCATTCTTACATAGCTGGAGACTATATATTTTAAGGAATTTTTAATCCTGGTAAAACTTGAATAGGTACTATTTTTTGTTGTTGGTTATTTTACAAACTTTTACAAACAATAATTGTTTATGACTAAATAGAATCACCTTTTTATACTTGTACATGTTCTCTATTATTATAATGAAAGAGGCATTCACTCCTGTTGGATGGTAACATCAGCATATTCAAAGGGTATATCAGTATCTTAAATGGAATACACACACACACTAAGCTAATTTAACAGTGGGATGACAAATCTACTTGAAGTTTCCAAAGATAATAGTTTATTGGATAAATAAAGACTAATAAGAACGAAATAAAGAGCTTTGTTGAAGGTAACCTGGCTCTAGTTTCTTAATGGTAACCCCCTTACAAAAAGTACCCCCTCTGCAGCAAACCTGAAGACTAAGCGAATTTCTATTTACCTGGCTGGAATTCCACTAAATTATACCCTTAAAATTGTCAGATTTAGTTCCTATTTAAATATAATTTATTTTAATGAGTACCTAGGTTTGCTGCCACAGGGAAGGTATTGAAGTGTGTTTTTATTGAAATGTTGATAGCTTATTATGAAATAAACAAAATTGCCAAATTTGATTAAAATATATCCATAAACAACCAAACTGCAACGGTTTATTTATTCTCCATAAGAATAACATGGGAATTTTAAATTTAAAATTTCTTTAATTATCTTCGTAACCGTTAGGCATACAACAACGTTTCAATATACAAAGTTATTTCTTTTTTTTAAGATCTACAAAATAGTTGCAAATAAATTGTAAAATTTTATGTTTTCAGGGTGAAAATTGGGATTTTTACCCCATAAACCTGTGTTCCCATACTCTGATCATGCTGGTTCGCAAACTCGTTCGAATAAATGTAGGTTTACACGTTTATACCAAATGTCATCAAAATCGGATCATTTTTGCTCGAGTTATCGTGCTATAACTATATATATATATATACCTATATGAATTTGAACGGATGGTGTTTTGGGTATCTGGGGACCTCAAAACGAAAAAGTAATTCGGTCCCAGGTCTAACCATGAGAACTACAGTAATTAATAGCATATACCCTAAATGGGAAATTCGCTAACAAGTAGTTGTCAAATATTGCTTGCTGTCCATATTGAATTTTAAATTTTTGATAGGGTTGGAAAATGTAAAGTAGTATACAATCTATTCAAAATATTTCAATTCAGTTGAACCTTATAACACCTATGGAGCACTTAATAATCAATTGAAAAATATCTTTTGGACAAAAACTAAACACACAATATCATAACTCACCAGTATTTGTGGATGGAATTTTAAACCGCTTTTCAATTGTGGTGATGGTTCCATTTAAGTAGGCAAAAGATGAAGATATGATACACCCCACGAATCCATATGAGAACACGTACACCTTCTTGTTTGCAAACACCTGCATTAAGGAACCCTTTAAGCACCATATTCCACAAGATATCTCGTCTGATCCCTGCAGTTCCAGAGCGATATCACTGAGTCTTCTAACCTTTGCGTGGGGAGTTCCACCTCCGTAGTCTGGTTTGATGTTTCCATTCTCCCCTTCGAGAGGTCCTTTTCCATTCGGAACATCTGTCTCTTTCGGAGTTTCATCCAGAAAGGGTTCCTCCTCTGGAAGGATTGGTGTTCCATTTTTGTCAACTTTTTCATTACTTTCCTCAGATGCCACCATAATTTTAAAGTCTATGAAAACGTTTGATAAAAATAATTGAATGGCTTAGAGAGTTTTACGAACAAAGTTGTTACTGAAAATTAAAAACCTTTTGTTACAATTACAAATGTAAAAAAAAAAAAACAGTTTAATGACCAGTTGTGAAGCTTATCTTTAGGCATACAAAAAGAGAGGCGTAATTTTGATACTTTTATTAGCTTTGAAAAATCCAATTTTTTTTCTTTTATCACCTCTGTTTAATCAAGGATCTCTTTAAGACCTGGGGCAAGACTATTAGGTTTGTTCCACAAGTTTGGCTTTTTCTCTTATCTTATCATAGTCATATATTTTGGAGGATTAAACATCGTGAGTAAAGTGTAATTCAACAGGTAGAGGGGTTATTTTAACGGCGAAAATTTGATATTTTCAAAACACTCGGGACAAATTCTCTAAATTGGGATAAAGTCCCTATTTATTATGGGACAAAATCTTAATTTAGGGAAATTATGTGACTACCAACCTAAACTTTTGTTATTGTGGCGCTGCAAAGTCACTTGGTTTGTTGGGCTTCGCTATTGGTCACTGCAATGGCTGATGAGTGGAAAAAGAGGCAGGAAAGAGTAATAATCTTAACAATCCAAGTGGGTTGTTGATTACTGTATCATCCTACTGACTTTATTCAGGTGGAGTCGGGGTTTTGCGGTTTGGGGCTGCATTAAGTGTTTTGAATTTAGGTTGGACTATCAAGGTAAAGGTCCTTATAGTTAACCGGGTTGTTTATTTATGTTACATCCACAAAGTTTTATCACTTTTGGAACATTGGCTTAAACAAAGAGGTTTGAAATTGTATCGTGCAATGTGTAGGCAAATGGCATTAGAATACAGTGTTAGCAAAATAGATAAAAAATATAAAGATAATAGATAATAAATAGATAAAATGCATTAATTATAAAGAAAACGTTATTCCATGACTATTACTGGATCAAATTCCTAAAAGGTTGAAAATTTTTAATATATACGCTTAAAATAAATGCCTCAACACCTTTTAATAAAATTATGTAACTCTGATGAAATATCCACCCCTCGTTGTAAAAACTCACATATTCAGTGTATACAGTAGATATAGTGTTGAATGTGTTAACGTTCCCAACACATAACATAACACTATTGAACAGGCCAGTGACTGGATGACTGAATACTGACTAGTCTGACTGACTACTACTGACTGATTGCTGAACTGAACTAAAGTGACTAGTGTGTACGCCTCCGGGTGATGGTGCGGTGTGGAGGGGGTCTGGTTGTAGAGGGATACCACGTAGCACACCAAAACAATCACTTTTGGATCCTGAAGTAGACATCCCTTCGTATCTGGACCTGCTGATGCTATATTTTCATTAAAAAGAACACAGTTTAATTAACTTGTCTTTTTAATTGGAGGTATGCCTTTTATTTAGAGGCATGTCTTTTATTTAGAGGGATGAATTTTTGTTAAGAGGGATGTCTTTTAATTTAGAGGGATATCTTTTTGTTCAGAGGGATATCTTTTTATTTGGAGGGATGTCTTTTCATCTGGAAGGGTGACAGTTTTTGGAATTTTCTCTATGACATTTAATTTTACAACGACCCTTCAATAGGTATATAAAATTATTTGTTTTTTTTAGCTCTACCTACACGATGGATATATTGTAAATCAAATATGTGAAAACCCCAATTTTTTAACATTTCAAAACCCTAACATCAACTAACTAATAGATCTTGTGGCCATACCAAAAATGATTAGCAGATTCTATAAAATAATTTTCTAATTATTGTCTTTTGTTCTATGACGTTTTTTCGGTTATGTCTAATTAAAGTTTGTTGAAACACAAACGCCAATTAAGTCGCGCACGTCGGGCTAAGTGGGTTTGAAAAGAACTAAATAAGGATCATGAAACATAGGAGAATAACTATGCTGAATTAACTGAGTACCTTCAAACTATTGAAGAGTAAGTAAGGTTGTATCATTGGAAAGGTTCATACAATCTTTGAAAGCTGTTTGTGTGGAATTATAAACCTTTAATACTTCATGATACTTTTAAGGCATATCCTAAAAAAAATCACAAGAAAGAATCTCAATGGGAAACCTTTTTAGAGATAGCTTTGTTTGAACTTGTAATTTAAACAATAGATTTTTTTATTCTGCTGTTCCTTGGTTAGTATATTTTATCCAGGAAGACATTTTCAATGACACACCCATACAGTTGAGTTTCATCAAAAAGTTAAAATGGAGGATATAATATTTCAGCAGAACCAAAGTTCGTGTAGTATCGTAAAAACTGATAAAGTATTTGTTTTGCCATGTGTATAAATACAAAATAACTTCCTTAATACATGTATAGAACCTTTAGAATAACTATAAATATTTAACAGAAATAAGTAAGATAGTATTAACCGTTTTCAGCATTTTTATTTTTTATCAAGATCAGTCCTAGTAGGTAAGAAACATTCTAGTTCTAGATGTTTATACTTAATTTATTTTTAAGCTACAATGTAACACATTAAGTATGCATATTGTAATGGTAGCAATTGTTTGTTCAATTTCAACATCCGTTTAGTTAGAGTATTTTTTCTTAGACGTTATTTTCTTTGTGTTTTCTGTCTCTGGGGTGCAATTTCCAGTTCAACTTCCTCATCAAAGATCTTCAAGTGTTTGACGTAGTACCAGACTCCAAAATCAAACATTGTTCCAATCGTGACAAAACCTGGAAACATTTCAGAATAATAAATAAATAATTACTTTAAAAAAGATTCTAGTGTGATAGGTATTTTTGTGTGAAGATATTGTATTTTGACAAATTGTACTTGTTAATTTATTTTATTTACTTGAAATATACTCAAAGGACAGTTGATGTATCGTAATAAAAAGAATTTTCCTCATAGTGTTGTACCAACATCAATGTAAAGAACAATATGTGAACAACATTTTGTAGTAGTTTAATCTCTTACAAATTACTTCTATCTATTTAGTTTAAATTGCTTCAATGATCAAAACTCAATCAAAAATGTATTAGACCTAGTAAATATACAGTTTGAACAAATTTAACTGCGGTTCTAGAGAATACTTTATTTTCAATATTTCACTTCAAAACAAATTGAGGTCTATAAGAAATCTTAATAGCCTATTTTAAAATAACACTTATACAATGGCAAAGGTTTCAAAACCGTAACGGATCAACAGTAATTTTTCAGCTTAGTTAGTTGTAAACGGTATAAAAATGAAATAAAAGCTATGTGTTGAACTGCAAATAAGTTCTATGGTAGTGTATGATGGTCAATAAAACTGTCTATACAAACCTGCAGCAGTGAAGTTCATGAGATACCTCAACATCTCAGCATTGTATAACCAACAATTGCCGGTACCAGAGCATGTCTTGCCCCACACCATGCAGCACAAGTCTACAAAATACAACATGTTACCCCATACAATCAAATATAACACTAAATATTGGTTTATGATGTATTATAGAGCACAAGCATGTAGGTTTTACAGATTTTTGCGAAGGCATCAGGCTTGCCTGAATGGGCAAGAGTCTGAAGAAACTGAACACACCTATACTGTATAAACAAAGGATTGTTATGCTGATAGCATTTTCAACCAAGGAAGGGACGAAATCTTACCAATGAAGTAGCCAAACAGGATTGGTGAAGGAATGAAAGCAAACAAGCTGAGAAATGCTAAACCCAGCCCCATAGCTACTGTCTTGTCCTTTTCATCAACACATCTGAAAAATAAGACAAATTTAAACTTAAATTGTTAGATTTCTAAAATGATAAGTATGACGTAAGCTAAACTGTGAAACACTGTGATTGAAAATAAAAGTAGGAATTAAAATCACAACTAAACCCACATATACAAAGATTTAAATTTTTTAAATTTATATTATAGTAAAGGATCAAATCAAAGTGAACCCCCTACTGTTGTAGTTCAAACCAAGTACCTGACGGAAACTAGGAAATTTGATGTTCGACCGGTGCCTCCGCTGAATTTCAGGATACACATGACTATCAGGAATATGAGGAAGTGTGAGGAGCAGTCCACAGGGCAGAGCCCCTCGGTGAGTACCCAGGGTTCCTCTGGGTCCTCCAGGGCTCCACCCAGGACCTCCTGGGAGTCAAGGGTCAGGTTGGAGTCAGAGTCCATGAGAGGTCTTGGAGGTCGAGGTACACAGGCACAGTTAGTGTACACCTGAAACACAATTTTCATATGTCATATATGTCAGCCATAATATTTACAATAATCATATATTCAGGCATTGGGGAGCGAGCTGATCTAGTGGTTAGAGCGCAGGACTTCGGTTCCTGAGGCCTCGGGTTCAAATCCCGCCAATCACCAATGGATTTTATCTAAGTGATAATGCCGCAACCCATAGGTCTAGCCTGAAGTAATGTGAAAAACAATCCAGGGCCCAGCGTCATAGGACAAAAAATGGTAGAGTGTAAATAATATTTTTATGGTCTTAATAGAAAGAGCTAGAGTTGGACAGGGAAAGCGGATCAAACATAGAACTACAGAATGATGTATCTCTACAAATCTTTAGTTCATAATCTACCAAACTAGGAATTTCAAAGCAATCAAACTATTCCAAACCAGGGCTTCATATTATCTTATAAGAAAAAATAATATTTTGAGAAAATATGTCAAGATCAGTAATGTGAACTTTAAAGATCCCATAAAGTCTGGACGTTTATTGAATTATTGATTCTATTTAAAATATTGATGTTGTCTGATTTACTAAGCATATTTTGATAAATATACTTATTTCACTTTTCCATTTGAATTGGGGAGTATCATAGGAACTAGTTATAAAAACTAGTAGGCCTAGTCAATTTTGTAAAAAAAAAAATACTGATAGTTAGAATTTAAATACTTGCACTATTTTCAAAGAAGGCTATGATTAGATTAAATTTTGTATGGCTTGCATGAAGGTGGTGTTTTTAGTGTTAAGCTTGGTTAACAAGGTCCATCCTAACACTTCTTGTCTCCTCACAAGAACTTGCCTACCAGATTCTTTAGTAAATCTACCTTCATGTCACAAATACCTTACTACCCTGATTAAATTATTAAAATATATAATACCTTTGACCCATTGGCAGTGATTTCATAGTCCTTACAGCCTGCGTGACATGGAGAGATAAAGGTTCTTCCGTCAGGAGAGCAAACTGGGGAATACTTGACATACTCACAGTTGCAGTCTGCGTTGCAAGGTGTTGTTGTTTCCATTCTACAACAGAAAATAATAGAATGACAACCAGTATCAAATTATTGATAATCAATACTAATTACAAATTGTGTTTCTGTGCACAGTTTTAGAATTCACAGAACCAGTTGGTGAATAGCTTCCTCCTTTGTAAATGAGGTGGGTGTATAAAGTTGTGGATGTTCCAATAATGCAGGGATATAATAATAAGAATTCCTTGATTGGAGGTATATTTCTCAGATTCCCAAGAGATGCATAATATATCTCACAAGCCTCTGAATCCTGTTAACTTTAATTTAAATCTTAAATGAAGTCTGACTTAGGTTCTTCACCAATTTCCCTCATTGCAATCACCCACCAAAAGTAAAATGTCCCAATCATGTGTCATGTCTTTTGTCACTTACTGTCCAGAAGCTAAGATGGCCCCTTGACGGTCATTGACTGGACAACCCAGAAAGGCGTAAGAGATGATGCCTAATACACTGATGGCTCCAACAACCACGTTCCATGCAGCCAAGAACCTTGCACTTGGCCTCACTTTGGAGATGAAAGCACCAGCAAACAATATTCCCAGGGCTGAGCACACGAGTCCAATGGCACCTAGAATTTGTGTTACTTATGTTAGTGGAAAAGCTGAACAGCAGGGTTGAAAAGCATCACAAAGTGAAAAGTCTTAAGCCGGCTCCCCATTACGAAAGCAAGACAACTAGATTGCCGAACATAAAATATTTTGTGCTTGGCGGATGGCGCTTGTCTGGAGCCGCCTTTAAGTATATATCATTTATTGATCTTCCATATATAATTAAATGGTACACTAAAAACTGTGATGCTGAATCCAATACCTGTAATAAAGGAAGCGAAGGATGCAGTCTGTTTGTAAATGGTCTCTATGTACTTGGGCATGAAGATCCAATAAGGCATGTATCCCATAAAGTAGAAAACAGAAGCAAAATTGTTGCACATCAAAGTCTTGTTTTTCAGGAGCCTGAGAAATGTAATTTTCATATCTGAAATAATCAATATATCATAATTAATCAAATTTGAAGGATCATTGCAGTTTGTTTCATCACAATTAGTATAAAAAAATGTTTCACTATGTTTTGAAATCTAGAATCTGATCTGGTTAGGTGAGAAGATGCCTAAAACATAGAAAAATTAGTGTTCAATCCTATTTAAAACTAGAAAATTACAAACAAAAAAAACATAGAGAAATGTATAAACAGTCAAAACAAAGAAAAAATATAATAACCGTAGTACAAGTAGAGGGTATATGTTTAAGTATCCTCAACATTTTATATATACTTGAAATAACATCAAATACTGCACTTTGAATCACTATGAACCAAACTCTCTATCCATAGAGTGGATGTGGCATCGACGCACACACTACTTAAGGGGTTGAATCAACAGTCTTTAACCCATAAAAACTTAGTTTCCAATGCAATTTGATCATTCTGATAGGTAGAAAATCACAAAAGATACCTTAAAAATCAAACCAATCACAAATACCAATCAATCGATTAATAATTAATCAACCAATCTAAATTAACACAAACTCTCTATCCATGGAGTGGATGTGGCATCGACGCACACACTACTTAAGGGGGGTTTTGTGTTCTAGTATTACGCTAGTAATTGGGTTTCAGGACTGTGGTCTGTGGCCCTTGCCTCCGTAGTAGTTGAGGTAATGTTCAATTATGTACCTTTGAATGATGAGTGTGTTTCCTCAGGACTGTCGTCAGGGTCTGCGGTGACGCCTGCTTTGCGACGCTCGGAAGCCTGTATCCTCCGAGCTGCGGCCCGTGGCAGAGACTTGGGGAATAAAGCGAGTATTGAAGCGGAAATAAACAGAGCTGCACCAATGACCAACCAACCTACATGCAAGAATATAATATAAAAAACCAATACTTCAATTTGTAGACACTTTCACGTAAGTGTTATACACAAGGAAATATTTTAATTATATATTTACATAAATTTACTTACATTTTCCATTACAAACCAGTGATGAGAAACTAATTCATGAACCTTCTTCCATTTTTGCCCAAAATAATCAAACATATTTTTATACTTGATTTATTTAAACATGGATCTTATAAAATCTTACTTATTACAATCAAGCTGTCAAGCAAAGTACTCTAAAGTAATAGAGCATGCTACATTTATACAAGTGTGTCTAACTTCAAGTTTTCCAAAAGTAAAATATATACAGTAGCTGAAATTTGTTGGAAGCTTTCTAAAAGAATCTTACATTTATTTGTTATTTTTTGTAAGTTACAGGAACAACTCTTTATAAATTTAAATAAAATAAAAAACCTTTCTGTATTATTTACAACTAATTGATAAATAAAAATGGTAATAATATTATTGTAACTATTGTGATTAGAATTTAGAAGTGATGTAGTCGTTTTCAAAGCTATATACTTACCAGCCCACCACGCTCCCAGCCAGCGAGGGTCGGACGGAGTGATGGTGGGGGTGAGAGAAGGGGAGATGTACGTGGTAAGACAAGCGGAGGCTAAGGAGTAGCCGATAGCTGGACCCAACATGCGCAAGAAGTAGGAGAGACCTGTAACACAAATACACGTGAAACATTCACAAGGAGTGGACAACGTCTTAAACAACCATTCTCAGTGTGATTCAAATTGAAACTTAACCTGCAATGTTTTTTAATCAGCTTAAATCCTAAGGAGTTGTCGATTCAAATAAAGTCTTTAAAGCCTTAATCTTTAAATCAACACTTGAATCACTCATGAGATGGGATACAACTGAGATGTAACTAAAATATGATGGAGGATGGGTTAAATGAACGTGATGCTTTTTGCAGATTTATCACTGACTTACACCCTGTTCACATGAAGGCGTTAGACGCCGTGTTTGCGTGTTAGAGTCAAGTACATAGGAATAAATGGGATTGTTCACTTGCAAAATGGGACCAACGTCGCCTCGCCAAAACGCGACGCTTGTAGTTTTCATTTCAAACGCTATGTTTGCAAAGCGCTTCTAGCTCCATAGTCCCACTGGAGTAGTGACTGGTTCCACTAATGCTGCGTCTACCGCTGGCATGTGTACAGTTCCACATTGCGCTAATGTGAGCTCAACACGGTGTCTAACGTCTTCATGTGAACAAGCTGTAAGATTAGCTGTGTCTTTAGTTTGGACACAGCTAAAGTAAAGTTCAATTGCCCGATGGTACAGGATAGCTGGCAGATTCTTACTATTAAAAACTAATGACTCGTCTCAAGATCAAACCAGCAACCTTCTGATTGTACTATTAGCACCTGCTCAGCAAAGTTTAGATTTTTATTCTATGTCAGATTCACTATGATTACATGATTCCAAAGCCTTTACTGATCACATCATCAACTCAAAAAAATTTGTACAATCATATTATTACAATAATAATCTTCAACAACTTACTGACAAGTGCAGGGGTCTTTGACTTTTTGATGTTGTCGTCCATGTAAGACACTCCCAGAGTGTAGTACAGAGAACCACCAACACCACTAATCAGCTGTGCCAGGAAGAGTATCGCTTGAGGTGCCAGGTTACCTGAGTTGTCATCACATTCCGGACCAAGGGAGTCACTTTGGCAAACCAACTTGCGGTTCTGTTTATCTGAGTAAGGTAAACAAAATTAAAAACTAAGAAATTTAAAACAGAAAAGATATTCTTGAGAACCTATGTGAGTAGAAGGTTTATATGGGCAAAAGTAAATCAAATTTTATGGCTTACTAATTGTAAGCTGACCATCTTTTAGTCATATGTCATTTTGAAAAAGCAAAGAAAAAATAAGCTTTTCATAATAGCACGTTTATTCAACTATCCAAATACAAAATCCTTGATTTCTATCTAAACATATTTATGGATATCATTATCCATGTGCAGACTATGTTTTCTTAGAACAATTTGTGTCTACAGCCAGTCAAAAATTGTTAGATAGGATGGCATATAAACTCAGTATCCCTCCAATACGTACTAGTATTATACACAAACTAAGCAGCTAGATGTTCATTTACCCATGAGGAATTCAGTTGTATTGGCATCATGGTGGGATCCATATTCCTCTGTAAGTGTGAGTGCGTTCTCTCCGGGACCGTACAAGAAGTGTGGAAGTGCGTTCATCAAACAGAACGCCACAACTGTGTATACTCCAAATGCCATCCACCGTGGTCTGTGGCCCTTGCCTCCGTAGTAGTTGAGGAATAGACACAGAAACAGCTGACTTATGTCACAACCCACCATAATGATGCCTGGAGACAGATAAAAACCATTAATTATGACACAGGAAACTTTGAAACGTTTGAACTTTCCTGAGGAATATTGTGGCTATGGCAAAAAAGCATAGCTAGGCAAACACTCATGGAATGTTATAAAATATTAGATATAGGATTCCATTTTTGACAAGTCAATACCAAACGTCCAGACACAAACTCGGCACAAGATACTTTTTCGGTGTTGATACTTTACTTTGAAATGGTGACCAAACGAATGTAGGTAATTTAAGCCAAGTATGAATGGAGATGAGTATAGGGATGAGTGGCGTGATCTTGTAGTCTTGTTACTGACTAAGGCCGACATATTCCTTGGACACAGCTGTTAATTATTAGCCCATACAGCCAATGGCAACTGAGGGACTAACAGTTTATTTCTGAATACAAACCGCATTTCTTTCCTTGGTATTAACGAATTGGTCTAATTATCAGGATAGCACTGTGCATAGTCGTAGTACTCACAATTGTATAGTACACAATTTGGAAATTTACACTACTATTATTACGATATTTTCCTTAAATAGTTCATTTTTCAGATGTCAGATTGATGTATAGAAGTTTTAATAGCAATTATGTTTGTGGATGCCCAAACTAAAATTTCATGGCATCAAAACATAGGCTAATAAAAATTATGGATATAAATTTATAAGTTTTTAGTTTATTTTTAGTTTGGCAATAGATTTTGCATTCTTACATAGCTGGAGACAATTAATTTTTAGGTATGTTTAAGTCTGTTTGGACTTGAATGCTCATTTTTTATTGTTGGTTATTTTACAAACTTTTACAATAAAATGTTTGACAAAATATAATCACCTATTTTTTTTACTTTTATGTTCTCTATTATTATAGCCAAAGTGGCATATACTTCTGTAGGATGGTAACATCAGCATACTCAAAGGGTATCTCAGTATCTGTCATGGAATACACATACACAAACACACACTAAGCTTATTTTACAGTGGGATGAGAAATATACTTGCAGTTTCCAAAGATAATGGTTTAGCTAAAAATAAAGAACTGTATAGAATATAATTTAACCTGGCTTTAGTCTCTTAGAGTTGTAGCCACCTTACAGAAACAAGTAGTTGTCAAATATTACTGCTGCCATATACTGGATTTGAAATTTTTGAGAGAACATAATTGGAACATGTAAGTACAAACTCTACTCAAACCTCAAAACTATTTCAGCTGAACTTTGTGAGCACTCCATGTTTGTGTTAAGAAAAATATCTATTAGACAAAAGCTTAACAAACAATAGCATTATAAAAACTCACCAGTATTTGTGGTTGGAATTTTAAACCGTTTTTCAATTGTGGTGATGGTTCCGTTCAAGTAGGCGTAAGAGGAAGACATGACACACCCCACTAAGCCATAAAAGAACACGTACACCTTCTTGTTTGCAAACATCTGCATTAAGGAACCCTTTAAGCACCATATTCCACAGGATATCTCGTCCGATCCTTGCAGTTCCAAAGCGATATCACTGAGTCTTCTAACCTTTGCGTGGGGAGTTCCAACCCCGTTGTCTGGTTTGATGTTTCCATTCTCCCCTTCGAGAGGTCCTTTTCCATTCGGAACATCTGTCACTTCTGGAGTTTCATCCAGAAGGGGTTCCTCCTCTGGAAGGTTCGGTGTTACATTTTCGTTAACTTTTTCATTACTTTCCTCGGATGCCACCATGATTTTAAAGTATATAAAAACGTTTGATAAAAATAATTGAATAGCTTAGAGAGCTTTACTAGCAAAGTCGTTACTTAAAATTAAAAATCTTTTGTTGTGATTAAAAATGTAAAAAACCCCACTTTCGAATGACCAGATGTGAAGCTCATCTTTCTCTATTGCCTGCAAACGGAGTGGCGTAATTTTGATATTTCTATTAGCTTTACAAAATCCTTGATTTTTTTCTTTTATCACTTCTGTTTAATCTAGGATCCCTTTAAGACCTGGGACAAGGCTATTAGGTTTGCTCCACGAGTTCTACTGTTTCTCTTATCTTATCATAGTCATATATTTTGGTGGATTTAGGAATTTAGCTAAAACTAACAGGTTTTGACACTTTATGTAATAATAACCTTTAAGCAGTTCCGGACCTACAATCCATGTCCTTTTCTCTGTAACGTTTGGATTTCAAATTATATTTTAACCTTACCAGTTAAAATAGATAAATGTCAATTGTGTAGCAATCTTAACTTATACAAGAATACCAAAACAAGTGTTTTCACAAAAAAACGTAGATATCTTTAAGAGTGTGTAAGGGAAACTGGAGTGGTGCGTAAACATTATTGTATAACGTAACTACGATAACGCAGGTTGACCCCATGACCAGGGGCTATCATAGGAGATACTAACAGGGAAACAGTCTAAGGGAATTGATACATTTAGAGTAAGACAAGAGTAAAAACAAAAAAAAGTCTTAACGATTAGAGTCATAAAAACAATTGGCTTCAAAATGCATTGATAATGGACTGAGTCATAATGAAATGGTTGCAGTCTTTAATTTTGTAGGAAATAATTCATTATCTTAGTATTGATGTAAAATAAATTGGTACAAATAATTTTTATGAGAAAAAAATATCTATATATGTTGTAGGCTACTTTCAGTTGACTTTTCTAGTATGGTATCAAATATTTGTTTTAATTCAATTTTCTTATGTATAAAAAGATCTGCAAATTTGCATCTCTCATTTCAAAATTCTGAAAAACAAAATTCCTTTTTTTGAGAGCAGAGTTTACTCTTTGTTCATATATTGTATAAGATCCTTGTTTACCTTGTTTTATTGTTTAAGATTTTGTTTGGTTGTGTTTAATCTGGCATTTGAGTTTAGACCTGAACCATAAAGGGTCTGTTTTAACATAATAGTGGAGTAGCTTGAATAGTTATACCCTTCATGGAGGTCTTAACAGTGAGTACCTAATTATTTTTCAACCTAAATCTTGGAAAAATAAACGTCTTCTACAACCTGACACATAATTTCTCCCATTAGCTATTCAACAACCTTTAAAATGGGCAGGCTTTAGGTAAATATGATATTTTATGTAAAACATCACAAAAATTGCAATAACTTTTGATCCGTAATTTTTACAGCATTCATGTAAGAATTGTAGCATTTTCTTTAGAGTTAAAAGGACCATGACACACGCGGGTTCAAGATGGCGGCTCTGAGATACTTTGCTCTGTTTTCTAAGTTACTTTTATCCGTTGTAATCCTAGCTAATTGAAGTTTTATCCCGTGAATTCCTTTTGAAATTTATTATTAAGTGTATGCTGAGTATTTTGAGGTATAATTTATGTAATTTTATCCAAAGCATATAAGGAATTTCTTCATAGATCGGTTGACCTCATGTTACATACCCTCAAGAGGTAACTTCAAAAAGACTGTTTTAGAAATTTATTAAATATTTTACTTTCATATGCTGTTTTACGGCAGAGCTTGTACTTTGGTATTATTTTGTGAAATTTGGTGAAAGACTTTTAGTATTTTAATTTAAATTGAGGTTTATATCTCAACATAACCATTTCTAACCTCAACTTTCTTGTGGACTTGGCTATATTCCACTATTTGTTGCAAGATTCCTATTTCACTTGACTTAAAGTTGAATAATGACTAAAACCAAACCCAAATGTGGCATTTGCCTTAAATCGGTTTCTGATAACTGTAGGGCAATCCTTTGTGAACATGAATGTGAACAATGGTATCACACCAAGTGTCTTGGACTTAGTGACAGTGAATATGACCGCTTATCTGGGACTGATGAGAAATGGTATTGTGAAAAGTGTGGACTTAAGTCTACCAATCAACAGCTTAAGGAAGAAATTAAGAATTTAACCAAGCATGCCTCATTGTTGGAGGCTGATGTTAAGGAATATAAGAGACTTTATGAAGAAGCTGCGCGGAGAATTACAGAATTAAGTGAAATGTGTTTAAAGCGTGAACAGGAAATAGTAGGCCTAACCTCAAATCCAGAATTAGTAGATACAATAAGTAGGCCTAATGAGTTTCTACCTGTCTCTAAAAATAGGCCTAGGCCTTGGTCTTCTAGAAACTCCAGTGTAGGGGAGGGCCTAAATGGTAGCTTTCCAGTAAACATTAGGGACTTCCCACCTATCTCCACTAGTAATAGATTTACCTGTTTGTACCAAGAGGATAATACAAGTTTTAAGTCTGATAACCAACCCACATCAGACGAGCGGGGAAGATATGCGAGGAGGCGCGCAGGAAAAATCCAGCAGGTTTCTCCAGTTTTGTCTAGGCCTCGCACAAACCAATGTGAATCGTCTGACTGGACTAAGCCTACTAAAGTTACCAAATCATCCAGGAAAACCAAGAAAATAAGAATCTACACTGATAGTTTTGGTCGTGGCATTTCCTCAATAATTTCAAGGACAGCGTGGGGCCAGTATTTTGATACTGAGGGAACTGTCAAACCTAGTGCTCTTTTTTGTGATGTAACTGCCAACGTGAAGTATGAATGTGAAGATTTAGGACCAGATGACTATGTTGTGCTCATGGCTGGGGCTAACGATATAGCTAAAAACTCTTCTGGTAATGTGGTGAACGGACTTAGAGATACTCTACAGGTGCTGAAAAGTACAAAGGTAATAGTTGCCAATGTTCCTCATAGACATGATTTACCGGATTCATCGGTTGTTAATAAACTGATTTCTGAAACTAATGGGAAAATCAAGGATCTCTGTAAGGTTTTCAATAATGTTTCTCTTATAAATACTGAAAGTTGTGACAGATCTTTTCACACTAGACATGGACAGCATTTCAACGCTAAGGGGAAGAGGGTGCTCGTAAATCTCATCGGTAAAATTATCAAGATCCAAAGAACTGTAGTGACCCATCCTACATCGATAGTCGAAACTTTACCTGATCATCCCTCATTGCCTATAGCTTCTCCACCCAGTTCTACCCAGAATCCTGAAGGTATTGTCTCATCGCAGGTAACTACACAGCCGGCAAGTATTCTACCCCGAGGACCTGACGAAGGTATACAAAATGCTGACTCTTCTTCTTTTTTAGTGGTAGTTTAAATAGGCCTATGTCCGGAGGTAGTTCTGTCAAAGATGACCTTTTAACAATTTTACAAGTAAACAGCCAGTGTCTCCGTAATAAAATTTTATCTCTGGAACATCTTTGTTTTTTAGAAAAAGTTGAGGTTATCTGTATGTCAGAGCATTGGCTATCGTCTGATCAAGTCGAAATTTTTGTACCAAATAATTTTATCACTGCTAGTATTAGATGTAGGAGTAGTAATAGAAATGGTGGTTCGGCTATTTTTGTTAAAGAATCGATTGAGTTTGAATCTATTAATCTTGATTGTTTTTCATCTGATTTTAATTGTGAACTATGTTGTATTAGATTAATAAAACAAAATGTTACTATTGTTAGTGTCTATAGATCACCCAATGGTGATATTAATGTTTTTTTTGAAATGTTTGAAAATGCAATTAAAAGTTTGATGAGAGGGGGCAGTAAGTTAATTATCTGTGGGGATTTTAACATTGAAATGGCTAATGTTATTGAACAAAACTCAATAAATTTCATGAATTTACTTAGGACATTAGATTTAGTGTGTACAAATAATCTACCTACCAGGAATAAATCGTGTATTGATAATGTTATTGTAAATTTTTCTAGAGAATTTTATGAAATTTCACTCTTGCCAGGTACAATTGCAGATCATGATCCTTTACTTTTTAAATATAAGACACATGTCACACTAGATAATAATAAAACTGATACTGGGCCAAACCTGTTTTTCAGGAAGCAAAATGATATAAATATTACAAAGTTTTGTCATGTTTTAATGGATGAGTCATGGGACTGTCTTAATAACCATAATGGTACTGCAGAAGACTTGTTTAATGCTTTTTTCAATAGATTTAGAGAACTATGGTATTACTGCTCGCCCCTTGTTAGTAAAAAAGCTCGTAAAAAAACTAATGTAAAAGGTAAAAAACATAAACTAAACTGGTTTAGTCCTCAATTAAAGCAGACTAGAGACTTGATGTTAGCACACTATACTAAGTATAAAAATCTCTTAAACTTGGATTCTGTAAGGGCTCAGTCAGCTTACAGCACTTATCTTAGAATAAAAAAGTACTACAGGAAAGAGTTAGCTACTGCCAAGAAAAATGCTTATGAGAATTTCATTCAGACTTCAAATAACAAGTGCAAAGCTGCCTGGGACATTATAATACATGAAAACACTACAACTCGTACACCCGAAGTTACAATAGACCAAGATACACTCAATAGTTATTTTACAGATTCAGTTGAAGAACTTACCAACCTGGTAAGCCAAACATGCACAACAGCTGAGGACTTGCTTGGGCCTGAACCAAGTGAGAACATACACTCCAATTGGACTTGCATTACACCAGATGAGGTAACCAACACTGTCTATAAACTCTCAAACTCAAAATCTATGGATAGTTATTGGCTCTCAAATTACATCATTAAGAAGACCATACACTTAATTGAAACTCCTTTGGCTCTGGTCATCAATGAGTGCCTACGTGCTGGCATTTTTCCACAAAAATTAAAAATTGCTAAAATAATTCCGGTTTTTAAGAAAGGAGATAAATCACTTTGTCAAAATTATCGCCCTATCTCCATTGTTCCAACATTTTCTAAAATATTTGAAGCAATTATTTTAAAGCAGTTAACTAATTATTTTGATTCAAACCACCTGTTAACTGATTCACAGTATGGCTTCAGACCAGGTAGATCCACTACATTGGCGGTGTCAGAAATTACACAGTCCATTTTGAATGCATTTGAAAATAGAGAATCAGTGTCAATGCTCCTCTATGACCTCACCAAAGCTTTTGATTGTATCCCTTTTGATATCTTGATTAAGAAGCTTCAATTTTATGGAATTAGGGGCAACTCATTACAATTACTCAAATCATATCTAACCAATAGATCACAGTTTGTATGTGTTAAAGGTAAAAATTCATCAGTTACACAAATCAAGGCTGGTGTTCCGCAGGGCTCTGTCCTTGGCCCTTTTCTTTTTATTGTGGCCATAAATGATCTTCCTCGTAATTTACCTGTAAAATGTACAATCTATGCTGATGACACAACAATCTTTGCTGCCAATAGAGATCTAAACCTTCTTGACCACACAATTCAGGATGCAAACAATCATGTTTTGAACTGGTTTTCCTCTAATCAACTTATTTGTAATGAAAATAAAACTCAAAGCATAATATTTTCTCTCTTACAAAACCTACCTGAAAATTCAGTCAAACTTCTGGGAATTTACCTTGACAGCAGGTTGAACTGGAAAACTCATATTAACAATCTTTGTAAAAAGTTGTCAAGAGTCATTTATCTTTTTTGGAAACTTAAACCTCTTATCAGCATGGAGTACCTGAGATCAGCATATTTTGGCTTGTTTCAATCTCATTTGCAATATGGTCTTATTTTATGGGGTCATTCACCTCATATTTATGATGTTCTTTTACTACAAAAGAAAATCATCCGCACTATCGCCGGGGTGGGCCCTGTGGAACACTGCAAACCACTCTTTATAAAATATCGCATTTGCACAGTCATCAACCTATACATTTACAATGTCTTGATGTACACAAAATGTAATCTACATAAATTTTACACTCGACAGGACATCCACTCACATAACACAAGAGGCAAAGGAGCACTGGACATTCCTCAGCACCGGCTTGCACTTACAGGTAACTCTTTTAAAATAAATTGTATTAAGTTCTATAATAAGCTGCCTGAGCCTCTCTTTGAAGCAACCATTCCTATCTACAAGTCTAAAGTTTACTCGTGGCTGTTAGAAAATCCGTTTTACACTCTTCAAGAATTCTTGGGTTCGACTGTTCTAATCTAGCCTTAGATTAAGCCTTTTTTACTCTGTTACTTTGTATTATCGACCAATGTAAATATTTAGCCTAATTTGACAATGCCTATCTCAATGTATTTGATCAACGGCAATAAAGATTCTGATTCTGATTCTGATTCTGATTCTAAATTTTATTAAAATGGTTTTAGCCGTTTTTGGGAAAATCTGATTTTAGAGTCATATTATTATGAGAAAAATACCTAACCATTAAAAATCTACAATTTAAAAAAATAAAATTTTTGATGTGATTTTATACATTTGGAACATACCGTACCAAATTTATCAAAATTGGATCACAGGTGTCGTCTATAGCTCTGTACACATCCACACAAACACAGACATCACATCAAAAACCACCTTTTAAGGTTCAGGGGGACTGGAAAAGTATATTTCCACCCAAAACTCTAACTGCAAAATATTGATGAAAACAACAGTTTTCCCATATTAAAACGAATAGTGGGAGGAAGTGAAAATATTGTACAAGTAAATAAATATGCATAACATCACATAACTTATAGATGTAGTAATGTATTAAAATGTGCCTATCATTGAAGTTAATGTTTTGATCCCCACATGAGTTTTATTTGTCATGGAAAGTCCACAACCAAGTAGGAAAATGTATTTGAAGAAGAGGAAAGAGAGAAAAAGTTCTTCCAGTGATATAACCATACCTTTTTTGTTTGCTTTGGAAAAAACTTAACACTTCTATAAAGTATGACATAGGGACATAGGACATATGACAAAGGGGAAGGAACAATTTACCCAACAAAAGAAACCCATATAGGCTATTTATTTATTTTTATTTATTTATTTTTGTAAATACAGTAGTTGGAGTCTTAAGCTTAAAGTGGGACCACAATGTCATAGAGCAAATAACATTTTTTTATTTCCTATTTTTTGTGATTTCTACAGCATTTATTGAATGAATTTTTTATGGTTCCAGCTGGACCAAACTGGACCCAGCTGTTCCTGATCATTTGGCTATAAATTAATAATCCTAGCAGATGAAACAGCTGATCTTAGTAAGTAAAAACACTTTACAGATCATCACATACCATTCTTCACTCATCTTTCACTGATATTTGGGTTAAAATACAGACCTAAGTGGTGCCCCATTTCAATAAATGATAATTGATACAATTTTTTGTTTGTTAGATAGCATAATTGATTACTAACCCAATGACAAATGGCATCTAAATCTGAAAATTATCGAGCTTAGAATATATCCAAGCAACCTTTAGATTTGAAGGTGAGCTCTTAACTGCTACCCAAACTATTGGAAACTAGTTAAACTTATTCCCAGACGTTTAGAAACCTCATATTATGGTGTCTAGTCTTTTAGTTTCCTTTTGTCATTCTTCAAAACATTGCCTTAAATAATCTCTTCTGTACAGAAAGTCACAACCATTATTCCAGCTGTGCCTCATTCCTAAACAATAGTTATATAAAGATATGATCATCATAACTGTTATATAATAGATAATACTCTAGTGTTGGTTATACAACGAACACACAGCTATTCTTGAGGATAAATAATTCTCGAAGGAATAAAGGAAATAAAATCAAACATTTGTAAATATATTGAATTTATATTAATCAAAATTGAAAATATTTAACATCCAAGTTAAACAGTTGCACTGTTTTAGCTGCATTTGATACAAAATGAACTAAAAAGCTTTTGGTTACAATTTCTCCTCATCAAATTGTCAATATAAAAATGCTTTAAACTATTTACACAATATGGCACGACAAAGACAGAATACAATAATAATGGTCAGCTTTCAAAATCATTAAAACTAACTACCTATTATTTGGCTGAAAAAATATTTAACTCAAAATACAGATTTGCTTGGTAAAATTTAAAAATACATTTTACAATAATTTGATATTTTAAAATCTACTTTCTACAATATGGCTACAATACATTAATTTCAAAGTTAAAATGTTAAACTTGAGAAGGATTTCAATTTATATAGACCCAGAGGAACAATACAAATTAATTCAGGTAATGTTTACTTTTAGCGGTTTCTCCTTTTTTTTTACAATTTTACACTGCAATCAATACAGCTCATAGATAAAATTGAATACTTTAAAATTTAGACTGAGATTTGTAATTTTTGGGTTATATATTTATGAATGAATTTATGATTTATTCCACCAAAAATGCTACAAGGCACAAATGTGTAGGCCTACTGAAATTTTAACACTAACTATTACAGTAGAGTCCCGCAAACTCAACACTCAATAGCCCGGCAGTCTGGATAATTCGGCCATCACCTGGCTTAGAAAATTTGTGATTTTTATGTCCGAGTTAAACAGGGGCTCAAGTCAAATCATTGGCAACTCCTCCCAAGGATTTATTTTACGATATCTGATGACTTAATACTGACTTAAGGCAGTAAATAAGGCAGCTAAAATTGTATTGTTCTTACTTTTAACCCTAGTTCCCGATTACCCGGCATTTCACAAATTCAGCACCCTTCCAGTCCACATTACGCCGAGTTTGCGGGCCTCTACTGTAGTTTAAAAAAACATAAAGTACCTTAATACAAGAATATACAGAGCCAAAAAATAACCAAAATGTTAACTTAAATGTTGAATGATAAAAACTAACAAAACGAGGATAAAAATAGTAAATTAAATTGTAGCTCGTTAATTAATATTTAGTTTGTGGAATCAGCAGACATAGACAAACTCTGCCTGTGTTTCTTCTTTGTTTCTGTAGACTTTAAATGACAATTTGGTTGATTTAGACACTATATATAACAAATGATTTAGAGGTTAATTGTACAAACAAATTTTGGTTTGTGATTTTTTTTATGATGAAAAGATGGATGAAAAGACATAATGATGGTAAGAACTATGTCCAATTATATCCTTATGGTAACACACATGTGTCCTTAATGGTAACACAAAGCTGTTTCAGAAACCAGAGCATAATTGTTTAGCCATCATATAAAATCTAAAGAGCGGGTTTGATGAATGATGATTTACATTAATTAACTATATACACTTTTCTTGAGGTCTTTTAAGTACTTCCGAGAAGAAATTGACATTTTTCACTTCCTTTGAGTCTTCGCTCTTTGAGCAACCATTTCCATTTCAACTTCTTCATCGAAAATCTTCAAATCCTTTACATAGTACCAGACCCCAGCGTCGAAAAGCGTCCCTATTGTCACAAAGCCTGAAAATACATTTTACATTTAAAATATATTGTACTTGGTAAAGCTATCCTTTTTTTGAGGAGATTAGATTGAGTAGATTTGAGGAGAAGTAAGGATAAGTTCTGTCCAATGAACTTAATTTAAATTCATGTTTTTATTTTCGAGCACCTTAATCAAATATGTTAAATTTAATAAAATTAAAATACCAATTTATGTTTTAAAAATTATGCCTACAAAATTAGATTACATAAAAACACTAGTTAACAGTTATTTTTCAAAATTTTTTCGGGGGGGGGGGGGCACCACAGGTCCCGTGGCACTGGGGGGCGACTTCGACCATCCCTGCTTCAGGGCACTCCAAACCTGGCTACGCCACTGCCTGGAGATACTATACATTGGCACCCTTATACTAAATTTAATAACAATCTGAAACACATGTGTTGTCTGAACACACATATTGATACAACTAACCTGTAGCCGTGAAGTTGAGCAGGAACCTGAGGGACTCGGCATTGTAAAGCCAACAGTTGCCTGTCCCTGAACATGTCTTTCCCCACACCAGGCAAGTCTTGTCTGCAACACCATATATCATACCCACTGCACCATTTGATTGTCGAAAGTCAATATAATAATAAGCCTTAAAATCAAATGTTTGTTTGTCCGATTGTATTAAACTTTGGAAAATTTATCTCTATTATGTCTGGGAAGGTTCCAGCGGCAATTACACGAAGCCAGTTAGCGGGTAAGTTATACCTGCTTCTGGTAACTTTGAATACGCTAGAGACAAGTAACCTGTCCCGTCCTGTCTGTCCTACTGGCCTTGTGTAAACACGGATAGTGTTCTGCTCCTGCCAGACTGCAGTCTGGTTTTGTCCTTGGTCGGCCTCACAGGCATGTAAATGATTTTGTAATTATACATGTTTTTGGTCTGGTTATGACGTGTATGTGTGACATAATTTTGACGATGGCTTGTGCAAGAGAATATGTTTGACATATGATGACTGAAGAGAAGATTTGAAAATGGGGTTGTAAACCCAAAACCATAGTCATCCACGAAAATATAGGACTGATTGACGACAGGTTAGTAACCTCATTTTATGTCTATTATATACTCCATCCACAAAGTTTATGCGGTTTGAGGGGAAGCAATTCCATCCCCTCCACCTAACCCTAACTTTGAATCCACAGCCGACAGCTGATGAGCTGATACATATCTTGAAAAAGTGGTGGCGAAATCCAGGAAACCTTCGCCTTAAACTGCCTAAATTTTGTGTGCGGACTACTTTAGCTAAGAGAGTGGTGCGATATTGTGGTTCTACAAACAGAGTGGTGGATAAAGGTTTTCTTAAGTTGCTTCAAAGACCTATATACTTTCTCTACATTCTTTCCATTCCATGGATAAAGAATAAAGCTTCTGATAAAAATAATATATTTCATCCATATTGAAATGGGTGTTTTGACTGACAATCAAGGACCAGAAAGGGAAACTAGAAGATATAATTTTGTTCCAGATGTCTTTAAAATAAACACCTCACAATTAACCAAGAAATCTATTTTGAACACTGCATTGCATTGATGTAACACTTACCAATGAAATAGCCAAAAAGTATGGGAGAAGGTATGAAGGCAAACATACTCATAAGCATGAGGCCAAAACCCATCGCTATTGGCTTATCTTTCTCCTCCACACATCTGGAACCATACAATACCTGGGTAACTGATCAGTTAACAATGAGTAATAACAATAACAATAATATCAATCAGTTAACAATAATTAGCTATTGCTATTCATTAGTTAAGTTTTTTTTTCTACACCATTGGCTTTTTTATGAGAGTCACGAGAGAATAATGTTTAGTGGATGTGCCGGGGATTAAACCCGTCCCTCCCGCACCGAAGTCCGAGACGCTAACCACTAGGCTAGCAACACAACCAAAAGTATTCATTAACACTCCTGATATACTGTACCATGGAATATATTTTTCTGTTTACATTAATACTGGCAGAGTTTAAATTCCTAATGTACTTTCATTACCTATTCAAAACATGAAAAGCCCTTTTAATTTAATTCTGTGGATTTAAGAATGCAATATTTATAGCTGTAATTGTTTTCAAAACTAAGTAGCCAGACTCTATTTTATTCCACCTAAGAACTCATTTTATACCTTCAGGTCTAGTAAACCAGTAAACTCAATTAAAACTTCAAACCCCATTTCTCTCTCATCTTTAACCCCCTTATCTCTCTGTAAACCTTTTTAAAAATCTCTTCTTACCAGTTTAATCTCATACAAAATCCAAACCCACCTTACTAACAATATATTACCAATACTCAACACAAACCATTACAAAAATAAAACATCAGACGACATCATGTTGTTTATACTATTACTAACAGAAAAAAATGTACCTGACTGAAACAAGGAAATTTGAGGCTCTCCCTGTAGCTCCACTGAACTTCAGCATGCAGACGACGGCAAGGAACATGTAGAACTTGGTGGTGCAGTCCACGGGGCACGGTCCTGCAGTGATGTACCAAGGGACATCCTCTGCATCTCCCTCAGGACCTCCCAGGAGTCCCTCCTCCACTAGGGAGACAGGAGGGTCCGGGGTGGGGAGGAAGGGAGGGCGAGGGGCGCAGGAGCAGTCTGTGTACACCTGGAACATGGTAGGGAGACAAAGTAGTGTAAGTGGACATTGAGGGTAGTTAGGGTAAGTCATAGTCTCAACAAAGCAAAGAAATATTACAAAATAGATTCTTCATAAAAACCTATTTTTTAATATACTTTGTTCTTAAAATGCTTGCCTTCAAATTCAAATTTTTCATGCTAACGCACAACAATTCTGGGTCCAGATTTCTTTTTAAATTTATGATTATTAATCGAGTATTTTTCTTCAAAACGTTATTAATAACAAGGTTAACATTTTTTGTTATAAAAACATGAAAAAAAATAAAAACAGAAACAAATCCGAACAAAAGAAAGTAGGGATCTAAGTGACAAAAGAAAAGAACAAAAAAGATAGGTAGTAAAGAAACAAGATGGAAAGTCAATAGTACACATTTGTCAGAACAAAATGATTAAGAAATATGCTATTCTAAAAAAAGGTCTACTTTGTTACAATGTAGTAGTGACGACTTGTGCACATTTATTACTCAAATCAGTTTTCCCATTTTCCAGGACTGTTTAGTAAAAGCATAATGATCATGGACAACTGGATTCAGGTTGGAATCATCAAAAAGCTACCAAAGTTTTCATATGATTGAACCAGCCACCTCCTACTTCAGCTACCTTAACTAAGGGAGCATTCTTCAGGAGTACCGTAGCAAACATATGAGTACAAAAAAATACCCCACAACTCTAACTGAAAATGCTATAAAATAAAATGAAATCTATTTACTAATTTACTTACCTTGGAGCCATTGATGAGTGTCTGGTAGGACCGACATCCAGCGTGACAGGGAGAGATGAAGGTTCTCCCATCAGGAGAGCAGACTGGGGAATACTTGACATAGTCACAATGACAGTCTTCATTGCAAGGTGCCGATGTCTGCAGTCTGAAATCACAAACTGCAAATTCAATTGCGTAAAGTAAAAACTGATTATAGAGTTTAATTTTTAGTCAAGGAAGATGGAAAATAAAAAGTGAAGATCTGAAAAAATTTAAATTATAGGTAGGTTTTTTTTTAAGAAAATATATTATTTTCCCAATTAATTATATCAGTCATAAATTTTAACGAATTACCATTTTTTTCTATTGAACAAATACAAGATACATTAATTTCCATTCATTTTACATCATCATGTAACATAAGTTATCAGGGGTTCTCCAGTGTTAAATTACGATACTGACATACAAATATCTTATCCCCAAAACACTACTTTTTGTCTTACTTGTTTAACCATGTTACTATCTACCAGAGAGTTAAGCTTCTCAATTATTCACTAATCACTCGAATGATATTATTTGCCTAAGAGGTAGAGTAGGATACGCACTTACTCGCCAGAAGAAGTGATAGCGCCTTGTGTGTCATTGACAGGACAGCCCAGAAAGGCGTAGGAGATCATCCCCATGACACTTATGGCACCGACCACCACGTTCCAGGCAGCGAGGTAGCGTGCACGAGGTTTGTACTTGGAGATGACAAGACCTGATATGAGGATTCCAAAGGCTGAAAACACCAGCCCGACCGTACCTGTGGGAGTCAGCATGTGAGTGGAACAACTTAAAATGTTTACGTGTGATAAGCACTGAATAAACTTGACCTGCTTACTCCCCTGTGTAAGACTATGGTATAATCTATGAGTAAAGATAAAATATTTTTAGAAAATAATTGAGACTATTTGTGAGTAGGGTAACTTACTTAAAATATTTCTGGACTACCTTGTTAGCTGATTTTTTTTATTTTGAGAAACCTGTTAGCAAAGCTGAAGGGGAGCTTAGTGGAATCCCGTTCATAGAATTCTCTGATTACGGATAAATTTTCTAAAATTTAAACTGAATTTAACAGTACATAGAATACTAGAGCTGGAGTGTTGTTTTACTAGTTTCTCTTGTTCAAAAGTTGGCTGAGAAGAAGAATGACAGTAATTGTGGTGGAAGGAGAGTTAATAATCTTAGTGACTGCCTCTGATGATCTTTTGTACAATAGTAACTTTACTAACCAGAATATCTTAATATATTCTGAATAAAATAAGTTTTCTAGTATAATTAAGATTGTTGTTTTACAAAGTTGAATGTGGGAAGCTTAATACTGGAGGGACATGACAATTTTGTTTATTCACCTGTTATAAAGCTCGAAGCTGATGCCGACTGTTTGTACATAGTTTCAATGTACTTTGGCATGAAGATCCAGTATGGCATGTAGCCCATGAAGTAGAAGATGGCAGCAAAGTTGTTACACATCAAGGTGGGGTTCATCATGAGTCTCTTGAAGGTTTTCATCATATCTGAAATGTATTAGAATAATTTTAAATTAATTTTTAAAACTTTACTCTTAATATTAATTTTGTAAATTGTTTGTAAATTTTTTTGTAAAATACACAGAAAACGTCTGGAGCTTGACTCGTTTCCTGCAGGGTAGTAATTTTTTTTTTTTAATTTAACCTTTATTTTTAATATTGTTATTTTCTTGTATCTGGGCAAAAATTCCTAATTTAGAACAACTCACAAAACTTAAAACTGTCCTGACAGCTTTCACCCTTCATTTAGGTGGGCTTTTCCCACCAAACTGCCATCACAGACTACTGAACTCCTTATAAACTACACACAGACCACCAAAATGAAATTCTAGCACAGTCAAGCTTGCACAGTTTCCTTACTCGGAATACAACACATTAGACCACTCAATACGACTGAAAGTTTACTGCACTAACATGGTAAACTCAATGTTAACTAGTTCTAGCTTGTCTTCTAAGGGGAGCGAGCTGGTCTAGTGCACGGGACTTAGTTTCCTGAGGTCCCCGATTCAAATCCCGCCAAATAAACAGTGGATTTTGTCTAAGTGATAATGCTGCAACCCCTAGGTCAATTCTGGGCTCGTACCTAGTATCCTAGGTAAAAAGAAAACAAAATACTTAGTCTTCTAGGTTGCAGCACTTGTCAGAAAAGTTTTGCACAGTTTTGTCGAGTTATGCTTGCATAACCAGTTGATTGTGAAAGTAGATTTAATTTCCTAACTTATAATACCCAATGTATCGGTTCTTTGTGCCAAACCAACCTTGAAATGAAGCTGGTAATTCAGGCTCCACAGATTTCTGTTCTTCTATAGCTGCCTTCTCAGTTGCTAACATTTTCCTGGCAGCAGCCCTCGGTAGTGTTTTGGGGAAGAGCGCCAACAGGGAGGCAAACATGAACAACAATACTGCTAGAACCAGCCATCCTGGAAATAAATATAAAAAATAAACTTATTTACAAAACATGATACAGTAAATTCTAAAAAATATTTTGAGCTGATTCTATCTAACTTTGTATGCCTTACTTGTATAGGCCTACTTATTAACATTAAAATTTATAACTCTAAGATATCAAGTTTTCAGTTTATGCTTCCGATACAGATACAACAGAGACAATTAATATTTTTAAGCTGTTTATCCAAATTAAGTCCGTTATTTAGTAAATTAACTAAGTATAAGTTAAGTAAAGTCATTAATTGATTAGGATTTTTTAAATGTTTTAAACAATAATCCAAAATAGTGTTATGGCTTCTTTCTAGGGGGCTTCTTTCTTTCTTGTTATGATAAGCTCGATCCTATGTTAAACTCTGATGACTACCAGGAAAACAGACCTCTCTTAAGGGGAAATGTTATTAATACCACTGCTTAGTTTGATGTAAAATATGTTTCCAAAAGCACTATTGATTAGGTAAAACCACGTGTGTGCAGTAATTACAAATTGTATACTTGCCTAGCCACCAGGCCCCAAGCCACCGAGGATCCCCCATTTTGATTGTTGGAGTCAGAGATGGTGAAATATAGAGCTTCAAACAAAAAGAAGCCAACGCATATCCAATGGCTGGGCCCAACATGCGGAGAAAGTAGGAGAAACCTGGGAATAAATTAATCAGATGAGTACTACTACTTCATAATTTTTTTAAATGATCTAAAATGCTTCTAAAAAGTGTAAAACTGTATGTTTATCTTTTGGCATCACATTTGAATCTGCAATATAAAACCAAACTTCTCATTTTCTGAGTGTTAGAGGCAAGAATGTTTAACATTTCCCAGTACTGTACTTATCTATACTCACTGACTAGTGCAGGAGTCTTTGACCTCTTGATGTTGTCATCCATGTACGACACTCCCAGCGTGTAGTACAGTGAGCCCCCCACCCCGGACACTAGCTGAGCTGTGAACAGTATGATCTGCGGGGCCAGGTTAGCCTCCGCCACATCACACCCCGCTGACCCCGCCGTCTGACACAGGATCTTGCGGTTCTGCTTCTCTGCAACAATCTTATTGTTTACCTGATGGGGCATTTTTTTCTGTTGATATTTATACCCTACTCTTAAGTATTCATATCTGATCATATGGCTGTCCCCTTTGAACTTCCACACAAAATCCCTGTCCAAAACTATTCAGGTCTATTGGATCTGAGGAAAGTTAATTCCACCTACTTATGACAATGTGTCACTGAAAATTAAAAAGCTTAAAAAGTGAGCCTTGAGAAGAATCCCATGATAAAATCCACCTATCTAAATGGGAGGTTGGCCTCCATCAATTGGGTTGCTGTTTTTAGTAGAGGCTCCTAAAATGTGCAAGTATCGATTTTTTATTGTTCTGTACAGCATGAAGAGTACAGTATAGTACTTCGATCAAAGTGACAATCTTAAAAAATTTGTAGCCTTATATAAAAAAAGTTTTCTTTGAGAACATTTTTTTAAATATCTACAATAAAGCAAGGATTGGAGATATTTTGAAAAATGTTCTCATGAAGGCTAAATCTACGAGGCTCAAAAAATCCAGATTTGTAACGCCCCATCAAGTAAGTAAAGCAAGGTTTACCGATAACTGCAGCGGTGGTGTTCCCATCGTCATAGTGTCCCCCGTACTCCACGGTGAGTGACAATGCGTCTAGTCCTGGGCCGTACAGGAAATGTGGCAGAGCATTCATGAGACAGAACACCACGACAGTGTAGACACCCAGGGCGATCCATCGAGGCCGATGTCCTCTACCTGCGTAGTAACTGAGCACCACAGAGACAAACAGCTGGCTGATGTCATTGCCTACTGTGATGATACCTGTGCAAACACAGAGGACTATGTAATATAAGAAAGATATAAGAAAGCAAGGTATGCCGTAGAGTTTAGAGAAATTGCATTCACTGGGTTGTAGATCCATCCAGAGAAACACTTTAATGAAGACAATAATCAATAGTCAAAGGACATACTTGGAAGATGGCATCAAAAAGCATAGGGAAATTGAAGAAGACTATTTAAGGCCAGAGAAACTAAAACAATGAAAGAATTACACAATAATAAACTGCAAAAGACGCATCAAGTGGGAGGGCATTCAAACACACATAAGTCTTTCTTCCTCACTTCCTCACTCTTCATTTTAAGTGATGACTCTGAGAAGTAAGATACAGAGGAAACACATTTATGGGATACCGGTAACCGTGCTCTTTCAGCTCTGGTGTGTTGAGCCGGGAATATACTTGTGACAAGCAGGGAAGAGCCCAAGCGACGAGCACTATGCGGAAATTCCTATCGCACAGGGTAGAGGGTCTTTCTTCCCTGTATTATTATTTTTTTTACCCACCCATTATAATTATTATCATTTGAGATGGGGACACCACCTATGTGCGTATTTTAACCTAAATATGAGTGAAGGATGAGTGTAGGTGAGGCCTTGTGTAGCTTTGTTACTGACTAATACTATATGGTATCAGCTGTTTCATTAGTCAGGAACATTTATTAAAAGCCCAATGATCAAGAACACCTGGCTCCAGTTTCAAACCATCAAAGAGTAGGGGGGTGGTGTTGGACTTTGCCCTAGACGCTAGATACCACATAAGTGTACCATAGAGTAAGAGTGTATCCTCTATTCCTAACTTCTCTGTGATGAATATAAAAAATTTATAGATGAAAACTCAGGTGTAAATTCTTCAAAATGTAAAATGAATGCAAAAGACAAAATTAGTTTACCTGTAGTTTTGCTTGGTATTTTAAAGCGTTTCTCCAAGGTGGTGATTGTGCCGTTGAAGTAGCTGTATGAGGCAGAGAAGATGCAGCCAAGGATGCCATAGAGGATCACGTAAGCCTTCTTGTTGGCGAACCTCTGCAGCAGTTTCCCCTTGCAGCAGCCTATGCCACAGGTTGTGTCTTCTGAGAGTACGATGTACTCAGTCAGTCGCCTCTGTCTCTGCAGCATCTTGTCTGCTTCTGAACCTGAGACATTCATGTTGAACTCATTATTTTTTCAGAATTTTTTTTAATTTGTTTTAAATAGGTAGGATAGTCACCTTCTTGTCTTTATGGGTGAAATAACCGCACACTGAAGAAAAATGGGAAGACCCTTTTTGCCAACCCCTGAAGCAAGGTTTTGCCCCCTGCCCCTTTAAAAGGTTTCAATTAGTGGGGTCAACAAATAAAAAAACTACTTTGGTAAAAATAAAATTGATAAACAAGTACTGGTACTGTCTCCCTTTTTTTGACAAACTAGTTGAACCACAGGAACAGGTAATATATATTAATGTTATATTTTAAATGGTTTCTAAAAAGTATATGAAGATCTCTTTTCAAAGTTGTTTGGAAGACTTTTACTTTGTTATTTTCTGACAGTGATCCAAATAATGTTGAGAAATTGTCTATGTCTATACAAAGCCAAATCCTGACTATACTGTACCTTTGACATGGCCATTCTCCTCCAAGTGAACTGACTGAGAATCCTGCAAGTCCTTAAAGTCCGGAAACTCTGCTGTTCTTTTAGGTATCATCCGTTCCTCCTCGGCCAGAGAAACCCCTCCATTTTCTTCCAACTGTCCGGGTTTTTGGTTCATTGTAAAACACTTTTAGAAATAGTTAAAGTCTTTGATAAAAATATTAAAAGTTTAATAGTTACATTTTTACTCAATAGACAATTTTACTTAACAAACCACCAAAATAATAGTCGTTGGTTTAATTATATATTTTTAATCACTGAGATTGAACTCAAGTACGCTGCATAACACACTAGAAGATTTTCTTCGTTTGAGAACGGCTTCAGACTTATAAGGTCATTCCCACCTTCCTGTAAAAGAAAGGTTAGTTATTTTATCTTATCAGTCATGCACCTTGAATAATGTTTAGTTAAATGTAGGTTTATCTTTTATATAACCAAGTTAACCTAGCTCAACTTTGATATATATGACTAAACCTAGACATATACAGGCCTCTATTATGTAACGGAGCCAGACAAAACATAGACAATAAATAGTATTGAAAAATTGTATGTTTATGACAAATTCTGATTTAAAATTTTAATAGAGTGTTGAATTGATAAATTTTGTAATAAGTACTCAACAAAACATTTCATACATAAATACTTAATGTGAACATACTTTATGTATGTTTACTACATACTTAAGTAGAATTAATGATTATCAAATTTACAACTTTAAAAAATGAACTTTACTTGCATTAAACTAACATTTACAGGAAGTATTCCGCTGTCTGTCCCGGCCCAAAGGGCATTTTACGCGGCCTACTCCAAGAAAACTAACTAAAGTAACGATCATAATAAATTCTAATAGTTGAATCGTTTCACAGGATTGACGAGAGTAAAATAATAAAATAAATCTACTATGATGTTTATGACCTATGCAAATTGTTAAGTAATAATGTGCATAGCTACAAAAGTCTAATAGTTCTATTAGCATAAAATTCTTGGAAATAGAGACTTTGTAAAGAAAACATAACCAGTCAATTCGTTAATAAAAATAAAAAAATTATTTAAAACATTGTATATGATTAAATAAATTATTTTTTAAATATCCTTTTTACCTCGATTATTAGAAGAGAAATGAGCTATTCTAATATATGATTTTTACTGTTAAAGAAAACAATCACTAATTTTTGTATTGGTTTTGAATAGAAACATTTGTTATTAGCTACACTATTTTAGCTGATATTTTTTTCTTACTGGCAATCTTGTATTAGAATTCTTAACCAACCCCTTACGTTTGAATAAAACACATAAATTAGGTAATAACATTACAGTTAGCACAAAAACACAAAAACGGATACCTGCAGAGGATTGATATTTGAAAAAAAAAAATACCAACCAAAAGTCAAAATTAGAAACCAGTCATAACAGTGTCGGCTGCTTCTGGCTAATGATCCTAAAAGTAACCTTTTATCAGCAATAAAGCAAAGGTCACTCCCAGAGTCTGACTTTTGGACATTCCAGCCACATTTTATTGTGAAAGAAGAGTAAATTTGTATTTATTCCATGGTAAATTGGTGGAAGTTGTTGTAATCTCTGGTAAGTCAAGAGAAATAGAAATTAATAAAAATAGCATCCTTTGTAATCCTATTATTTCCTTACGATGTACGTTATAAAACAATTTGGTTGACTTCTAAAACAATTTGGTTGACTTGAACAACAAGCTACTTTAACTGTTCATAACTATGGGAACTGTTTTAGCCTACAGTCATTCATTTTAACAGTCACTGTATTTTATAAGCATTACAAAGATTTTCTGTTGAGAAAAAATGTTTTTGTTACTATTATGTTAAATTAATTTGAAGACTTAGCCCAATGCAAAGCTAATAATAAGTCTATATAGTCAGTTGGGCACAGATAAATGAAACTAATTGTTTTGGTTAGTAAGATTTATTGGATTATTTAACTCTCATCTTAAGTTTTGACAGTCAATATGGGTTAATCAATACTATTTTTTCAATAATCCAAACCTCTTCGTAGCCTACCAAAGATCAATTAATATATAAGGTGTCCCGGAACTCTCTACCAATATTTTAGGGCATTGTTCCTGGGTAAGTAACATATCTAAACATCGAAGTCCAGAGTTACTCACACAGCCGCCATTTTGTTTTTTTTACTTAATATTTTTTTCTGAAAATTAGTTAAACATACTAAATTGAAACTTTGCACAAACATTTCTGACAACTAGAAAAAGCTACGAAACAAATGAAAATTTTCAAAATGCATAAAACTAAATGGCGGCTGTGCCCACTATGGGCTTCCGGACAATTTAAATATGATATTTAGATATGTTTCTTACCCAAGAACAATGCCCTAAACTATTGGTAGAGAGTTCCGGGACACCCTGTAGATTAGGATCGAAGAAATAAAAAAACCCGATGAATGTATTCGAGAATCCCATGTATCATCTGAATGGATTCCGGCTAAGAAGACTGTCAAGTCTAGTTTAAACAATAAGATAGCACAAGTGGGTGACCAAGTTGACGCTAAGGATTATTTTTATAGAAGTAGGTTTTATTTATAACTTGCAAATCATGGCCAGAGTATAAATAGCCGCCAACTAGTACAAATCGTTTGTATCCGGTCGGACCACGTTGCATCATAAGTCTGTGTGGGAAGAATTAGGTTCAAATCGCTGAATAAATTCCAAACACCAAAATTTTTTACAAATAGGAGTGTTTCTTTGCATTTTAAAAAGTGTTTATACTATTTTGAAGTACCGGTACCGACAGGTTAAAATGTAATCAATAACAATTTAATTTTTTTCTATTTCGAAAGATTCCACTAAACATCAAACTATGCCATAAACTAATAAAAATACAGTAATGACTGTTAAATTTTTCTAATAATATAAAAACAAACATATTTGCACGTTTCTCTCTTTCAGCATGTTATTTGTAGCATGATCTTTTTATGTTACAATTTTTAGCATATTGTTTATCGTTTTACGTATAAGCTTTAATCTATGGTATAAGATTCATATTTCGTTTTGTTATAGATTGTACTGTACTCAAGCTTACAAAAAAACCCTTCTATGAATCTTTGTAGTATATCACAAAGCTTCATATACACTCGCCTGATGATTGGACATAAAATTCGGATGTTGAGATAAGATTGAGCAAAAAAATGTTGATAAAGTCTGAAAATACAATAAACATTATTTATCAATTCTTTAAAACTGAATCAAGTATTTAAAGCTCATTAGGTACTAAATTTCGTCAATTAATCCCTCACTAATCCACATATGGAAAAAGGCGGAATGAAGAAAAACTTAATTTTTGGAAAAATATCTCGACACATGGACTGCGCTGTAGCACAACAGCTGTACATTTTTAAACAATTACAAAAATGTTTAACATTAGTAGTCAGTCAACAATCAGACCTCGTGGCGCAACGGTAGCGCGTCTGACTCCAGATCAGAAGGTTGCGTGTTCAAATCACGTCGGGGTCAAATAAATTTTTAAGCTATTAATTTTGTAAAAACATAAGAGCAATTAATTAGTAAAATATAGTTGATACTTTTTACATCACATTTAGGAATTCAACAAAGTTGTTTTAATCGTCGTAATTGTTTGAACAATTTATTCAATTACAATAACACAAATAATGTTTTAGTGTAAAAATATTACGGTTTTAAGAACGAAAATATTTTCACAGCGATGATTTAGCCACCCCTATTTTAACAGCTAAAATTGATAAAAAAATACAACTCCACTCACTACACATGCGAAACACTGCACCTTGGAAAAGGTAACTCTGCCAATAATGTCACTAATACAAAAATTGATAACATTTGGTTTTTTCAATTTTTATACTGCATTAGGCCTAGTTATTTGGTATTTATTAATGTCAATTTAAGGGGAGCGGGACGTCCCTATCCCGAGCATGTTAAATTTACCAACTTTAGGTATTGGTATCAAAAAGATAAAGAGCTATAAATACCGCCATAATTTTTATTTTATTTTCAAAAGTATATCGTCGTTACATACTCTACCACTTAAAAAAATATCTCTACTAAAAATACTTTTTTTACAATTAATTTAAAATAGTAAAAATATATTAAATTGTACAAATAATATTTTTTTTATGTAACTTCCCATCAAGTAATATTGAAAGTGGCAACACTATCAACTGACAAAACCAACGACAAAACCGACCTCATAATTAGTTCGTCAAAAATGTGTGTGCACGATCAACTTGAAATGTTTTTTTTTTCTCCATGAAATATGTACGTTTACCTCAAATTGTTGTGTTTTTCTTGTAGAGGAAAATCTAAATATAAATTGAGCTAAAAAAACAAAATTCCAGATTTTTTACTATTTTCAGTACCTAAGAAAAAACAAACCCCCCCCCCTCACTTAATAGATGAGAAGTAAAAATGGTAACCTGTAACGCAAATTTATCTACTATTTTAATGAAAACATAGCAATTTATTTATTTGAACTACAGTTCCGTAATTCATAAATTATTGCTGTTAAAAATATAGGACTGTCATAAAAACTAACATGTTTGCCTCTACATGTCTTGTTTGGACTTCTACGTAATTCTAGATATGTTCTAGATATGTTCACAGCTAGACAACGTAGGCAAATAACTACAGTAGAGGGTGGAGGCCTTCAACTCCAATGTCTGCATTTCAACAGCTGTGAATTGTTTAATCGTTTGAGATCTGTGCAATCACCAGGACATTTCTAGGGACTACCACATAACAAATTAGCTATATGTCAGTAAGTTCTTGTAAGTTAAGTGTGTGTGCGTGAGAAGTTAGATACGATGTCAAAAATATATAAAAAACTACAGAACTTTATTTGACAAATTGTCAACTATACTCCAAAAATTTGACTAAGTAAAGGATCGGGAAGATAGGATAAACACTATTGGCATACTTGGAAATTGTACTCGGCGTTGTAAACATTGAGGCTTAGACCAAGTAAACAATCCTATAACTCACCTGTACAGGGGTTGGTGCTAGAGGCTAGCAGGACGGTAGGACCACGGACCACGACACAGTAGGACACTTTAGCCTCAATTGAGCCTTAGACCCAGTAAACAATCCTATAACTTACCTGTACAGAGGTTGGCGCTAGAGGCAAGCAGGATGGTAGGACCACGGACCACGACACAGTAGGACACTTTAGCCTCAATTGAGCCTTAGACCAAGTAAACAAACCTATAACTTACATGTACAGAGGTTGGCGCTAGAGGCTTGCAGGACGGTAGGACCACGGACCACGACACAGTAGGACACTTTATTCTCATTTGAGCCTTAGACCAAGTAAACAAACCTTTAACTTACCTGTACAGGTGTTGGCGCTAGAGGCTAGGAGGACGGTAGGACCACGGACCACGACACAGTAGGACACTGATTTAGCCTCAATTGAGCCTTAGACCAAGTAAACAATCCTATAACTTACCTGTACAGAGGTTGGGGCTACAGGCTAGCAGGACGGTAGGACCACGCACCACGACACAATAGAACACTTTAGCCTCAATTGAGCCTTAGACCAAGTAAACAAACCTATAACTTACCTATACAGAGGTTGGCGCTAGAGGCTAGCAGGACGGTAGGACCACGAACCACTACACAGTAGGACACTTTACTAGCCTCAATTGAGCCTTAGACCAAGTAAACAAACCTATAACTTACCTATACAGAGGTTGGCGCTAGAGGCTAGCAGGACGGTAGGACCACGGACCACGACACAGTAGGACACTGATTTAGCCTCAATTGAGCCTCCGGCCTTGCTGTGCCAATTGCTTGATTCGCTGATAATGCTTCCAAATCCATCCTTTGTTGAGCGTTTCCGAGCTGAGCTTCTTGTGTCATATCAGCGAGTGTATTGGTAGTTCTGCTAACATTGGCTCGACTGATAACAGCAAGTGTGATATTATCTTCACTTCCTATCGAATAATTTTCATTGCTCTCAAAAGCGCTAACCCCGCTATACATTGATCAAACAATCGATATACATGATACTGTAGACAATTTAGGGGTGTTTAAAAGTAAATCACCTTGTGTAGAGGATGTTAAATAAGCTTAATGTTCCATTATATGAAATAATCTTTCATATTTTCTGCTCTCTTAAGGAGATCAACAATTAATGTAAACGAACGTAAAAATGATGAGATCCCACAATCCCCCTCTGATTTAAAATTCAAGTTTTATTTGTCCAAGGTTCAAAGAAGTATTCCGAGGGGGAGTGGGAGCAAAAAATTAAGAGCAGAAATTAAGTCGGGGATTAACAGTGAATTTTTAAAATTGACCCTGTTTCAAGACAAGCCCCTTCCTTGTTCTTAGCAGCGACATAAAAAAGAGCAAAGAAATCGGAAAAGTTGATCCAGGCACGTAATGAAAAATTACATTCTCTTCGGTAAGACCTTAAGTACAGCGGGATGAAGCGGGGTCGCCGTAGGGAAAATCACTCCTGCATTCGGCTATCAGACAATCTTAATTATGGGGAAATATTAGACAACTCACTTAGAATAACTAGACCTTCAACCTTTAAATTTGTGTGTTATTACGCAAATGCTATTTTACTTTTTTGTTCAAAACCAATCAATCATTGAGATGGGGTCGCCACCTAGGTTCGTATTTTAACCCAAATATTAGTGAAGGATGAGTCTAGTATGAGATGATCTGTGTAGATATGTTAGAATGTAGAATTCACTATTCTGATTCGTTAAAATTCTTATTAAATCCATGCGGGATTTTTCACTAGGCGGACAGCTAAGTACAAAAATACAGTACTATAACTAAGATAATAGTGTTTTACCTTTCACCAATGGTCCTAAACTGATTTATAGTGCGAAAAAACTAACTTATATGAGCTATTTACGCTATTAACTATACTTGCGTATATAGTAGACATCACCAATAATTAATAAACCCCTATATTCATTAAGACTGTACTATAAGCTAACTAATTCGACTTATGTGATGAGCTTGAACTTTTAATAGTACTTAACGCGACGATTGTGTAAAGATAGTGTCGCTAAGACTATTTACGCGATGCGTACACTACTACCACCGACAACAGTATTTTAATTACAAAAAATCACTACTCATAACTTCTAAGGGATGTTATGTTTTCGTTTATAACCTCTCATTGCCACTGACAGTGATGCAACGAAACGTTGTACCAATCACTAATTGCACCACTTAACAATTAAACTGGCCAGAACAGCTGATTAGTTGAAGTTCAATTCATTACAATTTTACTACTTTTCTCTCAATCTTTGAACCTCATTGGTCCGTTACCCGTGTTGTTAAAACTATGTTGTTATGTAAATAAATAATGCTGTTATGTGAAACTTTTCAATTCTAAGAACTGAACTGAAACGGCTACTTTAAAAAACTGTCGTAGGTAAAATGTATAACGATTATCATTTTACAATACAATATAAGATAACTTACCTAGCCTGATAGTTGTACTCTTGTGTGGCTACACAGAGATAACCAGTGATTGTTGCATCATAATATCTGTTACAGCCTATCCATTACTCCCAACCTCAAGTGTCAAGTAAGCTAACTGCAGAACAAACAATTGTATATTGAATTTTACAAACGATATTGATATGCGTTAGCAAATTAAATAGGTGGATTATACTGTATAGTGTTTTCAGTGCTCGCTGGGTATTCAGTGTTGCGTTAAAATCTCCTGTATACCGTACTAACTTTGTTATAGTACAAAAATTTTCTACGATCGTTTGAAGCTATAATAAATGGTCTTAGCTTAAGGTACGTTGTCACTGGTGCGGCTGGAACTGCAGTCGCTGGACGATCATCGTTGGACGATTATCGTTCGGCAATAATCGTTGCAGTAGGCATTGTCACTGGTGCGATTATTATACAATCGTTCGGTTGCTTCTTGACTGCTACAGAGTTGAAGTAGTGATAGTAATGGATGAGTTTAAATAAAGAAAATACTATTCAGTTTTTTTTTTTTAGTTGAAGATCTAGAAGATAAAACATTTTAGGAAATGATAAGTTTTCCACGACTTAGAATGCATAGTATAGTTTACAAAAGTAACAGAAGATGGCTACTTCAGAATATTAAGAAACGAACAATTGCAAGCTGATGAGAGAATGTTTTCAGACTTTTAAAATTTCAGTTTTAAGTTTTTGTCTAGTTTGATCAATGAGGGTCTTTTCTAACTACATTGACTCTCCAACTACAGGAGATGAGAAGTTTGATCTTACGTTAAGGAAGGTTAGTTTATTTATACTCGTTAAATTTGTCTACTAAGCTAATAAACTATTAAAATGCTACAGTTTTTTTTTTCAAGCAACAGCTAACCCTAGTCAAAAATGCCACAAAGTATATTATTTTAATCGACACCCATCTTTCACTCGTATTTAGGTAAAAACATACAGCACTTCGTATCTGTCTGAATATAATGATAATTATAACATGAGGTGGTCTCCATTGAGGGGGCGATTTCAGCACCTCTAGAGGTAGCTTATGGAGTCCCGCAAGGATCTGTAATTGGGCCACTTCTCTTTCTAGTCATGATTAATGACCTTGACAAGACTGGAAATGTTGTATTGTTTGCTGACGATACCACCCTTGTGTCACGAGGACTGCACGTTGATCAGTCTGTAGCGGGAGCAGAGCAACATTTACTAGAAGCTTCAAACTGGTTTGAGGCCAATGGCTTCCAGCTGAATCAAACTAAAACACAGTCTCTTGTCTGCAGTCTAGCCAAACGTGCTCCTCCGAATGATCCAGTGAAGTTGTTGGGATTTACACTCGACCAAAAACTAACCTGGAGTGACCATATAGACCAAGTTTGCAGTAAACTATCAAGGGTATGCTACCTGCTTCTAAAACTAAGATATCTGGTCACAGAGAAATACCTGCTGAGTGTGTATCACGCAATGTTTCATTGCCATGTGAGCTATGGTATTTTGCTGTGGGGAAAAATGACCGAAGAAATATTGATCCTGCAAAAGAGAGCTCTGAGAATAATCACTTTCAGCGATGGTTTGGCTCACTGCAAGCCTATATTTGCCAGGCTAGGTATACTTACAGTGTTTAGTCACTATATCCTCGCCTGCATTAAATATGTGTTAGACAATATCGAGGAGTTTCCTACCAGAGCAGCAACACATCAACATCTTACTAGGCATCGTACCCGACTAGATGTCCCTAGAGTTAGGCTGTCAAGGACTCAGAAAGCCTTCAGTAATGGAGCAATAAATATATACAATAAGTTGCCAAACTCCATCCTGCACCTTGAAAAAAGGAAACTCCTTAAGATGGTTACAGCGTATCTCAAAGACAAAGCCTACTACTCGCTGAAGGAGTACTTTGAAGACCCTCTATTAGGCCTAGGCTGAAGTATGCCTGTCCACAGCCTTAGTTTTAATTGTATATATGTGTAAATAAGTGATTTTATATTTTTAATGACGCCATCAATCCCCCATGGGGTAAAAGATGAAGAATCGGTAATAAGGTAATAAGGTAATAAGGTGGATAACGCTGGTGTTGAAAGCGCATCTACCATTATTGGGAATGGGTTAGCCGATTTTAATTAGCAAACGTTACTCTATATACATTCTAATTGCGTAAAAACGCCATGATCTTCTTTTATACAGTGTAATAATTAGTTGAATTTTTTAAACTATGAAGCCGAGCATGTAAGTACCTGTGAGAGGTTCTCTAAATATATAGTAGGCCTACTCGAGTACCACATTACCATATGGCATATAAAAGATCGTAGGATTTTTTTTCGAACTCGGGTGGAGGAGCCTTGATTAAACTCAATCTCCGAGTAATGTGTGACGTATTTAACCATTTTATCTAACGTAAAAATGACAATACTATTATCATTCATAATCCTAGAAGGATCTAAAATAAAACACACGGTTAGTAATTTCAAATGTGGTTTTTGCCAACACATCACACACAAACTGTCCAAAATACACCTCCTTCGTCCGAGGGTAAGGGTAGACACAACAACTACTCCTCAACCCCGTATTATCCCCTTGCATATCAACATGCAGTAATCTCGTCTTAACAGCGTGGATTATACACTGCCGTGCTCGCTCATTTATATACTATGGAGACGCCGCGCGACGTTCGATGGCTTTTCTTCTAATTGCGTCTTTTTATTCCAATGCATATTTAAGGCGCCTTCCGACCCCGTTCTTTTAAACCCAATTTCCATTAGGGATCAAATATTCAGATGGTGTGATTAAGGCGGTGATCACAATGTCCTCCGCTTGCTCTTCTAATGTCCCGGCTTAGCGGGGCTCTTCAAAAATTCTCTTTTGATTAGAATTTTTTGCAACGTCTTAGTTACTGTCTTTCATGAGCTTAGTGGATATTGTTCAAGTCTCACTGCTGTAAGTGACATTTTCAGAATTATTAATTTTATTGTCGGAGAAAAGCTATAGCGGAAATAAAAAAAGTTATTGTGGTATGAATTAAAAATGTAATACTGATCTAACACATGAAAGTGCAATAGTATTTAACATGTCTGGTAATTAGATAGTTTTTTTAAATTTAATTTTATTACATTGATTATTGACTTAGCATTAAATTAATCCTCTTGCAATATTTTACACATTATGATACTGTATAACATATTATAATTTTGACATATCCTATGTCAATTCATATATTTTATGAAGGAATGTGACTAGCATAATATACGCAAAAAATCTAATAGCTTACTCAATACTTACTCAATGCTTACTTTAATACTTTTCAT